GCGTCGGTCTTCGTCAGCCGTCGTTGTGCTGCCACGCCCCCGGCTGGCAGAGGGCAATGAGCAGGTTCTATATCAAGAATATGTGAACCGTAAAAGACAGATTTCTATACAACTGACAACGGCAATAATTAATGGGTCTTTCTTAAATGTTAAGGGAAATCACTACTCTGCCTAGTGTCGTTTCCCACGCTCGACTGTCTCATGCAATATTTTGCCTCAGACCTCCATTACTTTCTTTTAGCCTATCGTCCTACCTGATCTGAGGCCTATCAAATTGAATATTTTCAATTCCTTTGGTACCCATCTGTCACTACCGAAATCCATCGATCATCTGAGAAGTAGTGTCCCGTTGTTTGAGGGGGGAGCAAGGGACTGGAGCCATTTTTGTTTGCCTTCCATTTCTTTCGGCACTGTCAGATGACAGACAATTTTTCACATTTGCCACGTGTCTTGGATGAGGTTGCAAAATACGGTTTTTGATTGCAATTGACCGATGACGCACGTGTGATGCGCTCATATGATCTACGTTGTGGACCACTGTGTTTGATACAGCGTGTTTAAAAATTAGGCCACTGGAAACATTTTTCCATTCATAGCGTTCGACCATTCGCTCTTGATCATTGTTGCCGTTTAGTCGGGCCATTAACCGTTTCGTCCAATTCAGTGCTTCAACGCCAGTTTGTGGTGTGACTGCCATCATTCCAGTTTTTAGATCTGGAAACCGGAAATAACTTGTAATAATTCATATAGTGTCTTTCGACCTTCGAACGGCTCATTGCCGATATGTCAAATATTGTTCCTTTACCACAACAACGTCCAGCCTGAAAAAGCCTAAAACTACTACCTCTGAAAAACAGCTAATTGCTCATTGCAAACTGATTTAACTCATTTTTGCATTTAATCGAACCATGCGAGATGAAATGGGAAAACTCGTAAGCTCTGACGCTTACTGCTGTCAACTGTGTCTGCAAACGCATAGCTTTCATGTCGCATATCTCATATTAATGGATAATAAATAACTCAACCAACCAATTGTCAGTCAACGCAGAAATTTAGCCAAACCACGATTGTGCACTGTTTTTCCTAAAGCTGCTTTAATTCAAGGGTTGAAGCTTCGTAAGCAAATCATGAAAGTGCGTTTAGCAATCTGGCCATTGTCATTCACTAACATTTCTATGTCCATCATTGATGGATGTGGATTGCTTGACGCCAATTCAGCCACTAGCGAGTTTCAGCTAGTTTCTCCCATATCGAATGAGTACATAGAAGACTTGTAGAAGAATTCCCAACCCTCTTCCTCATTCTTATCTAAGCCTTGGAGACCCTAACGGCAAGGTGTCGAATTTCAACCCAACGCCCATGGACAATTTTCCCTTGCAATTTGCTGATTCCCTTGAGCAAGGAACTTCCCTCATCTTGATTTGGTGCTACCAGTAGAAAAACCAGTAGCAGGTCGTTGATCTGCTAATACTATTAACAGCATGGACCCTACTGTAGTAACGTCAAAGGGTGCGAGACATTCGGCCATGCAGTCGGATGTATGCTCTCGACGGCAGCAATTCGTCTTGACCCACCTGATCATTAAATTAAACCAAGTATTAGTGTAAGAATGAATTTAAAACAAAGGTTTATTGATTTTCGACAAAGAATGTAAAGGAGTGAAAAATGGGGTCGCTACAGCTCATGGGCTTCAGGATCAGCAGCAAGTAAGTAGCTTTCGTTAGTATGATTCACGAGAAATTTTAAACTCATGATGGACATCAGATTTTGAGGCACATCGTCCAAATGTCAAACGCAATTAGGTGCCTTGTTAACAGTGGGCATTCTACTTCACTGACAGTGGCATCAGAGGGTTGGACAGAGCTTGACTGATTTCTTATGTCATGTCAACTGTCTTCGATATGCCATTTTGTGATTGGTCAATTAGTAATACACCGGCAGAATCTGAAATAGCGGAAAGTAATAAATAATTTAATAGAAACAAAGCTCAGCTGTATAGATTTCAATCTTTAATTGAAAGCGTAGTGAAGACATTGATGAACTCCTGCCAACTACACCATTTAATCATTGCTGGCACTCAGAGGTTGTGATCATCTCTCATATTTCTGCTTCAACCTTAAGTAAGATTTCATGACCGGGAGAAAACCTATAACCACACCCATTGCATGTGGGAGCGGCTGCAAATATATGAGGTCGATGGTCAGTTGATCAATCGAGGTTGTCTGAGCCATTCAATCACTCTATTTTGAAGGTACTCTATAACATAAGAGTATATAATATTAAATTGTACATTTTTAACGTTGGCACTGGTTTCCGTCAATCGTCGAAGACATTTTTGTTCGCATCTTCTGAAACTGATCTCCAGCGCTCGCTGGAGAGGTTCACAGCTGAATGCGACGTAAGAACGTGTCTGAGGCGAAACCTCCGTGCTTCTTCGTTCTCCTGCTTAGTTCACTTTCCAGATTATAAACCATAGGTAGTGGAGCAGGTCGAGAAATTCTCGTCCATCATAGTAGTGTTTCCCAGTGACACAAAGTGCGGTGCGGAGATCGACCGGCTGATTGGAATGGCAGAAACCTGCCGAACCGCTGTAACCAAAGCAGAGCTGAATCTGAAGACTAACGTACCTGTTTTCAAGTTGGTATCCTGTCCGATGCTCACCTCTGGTCCTGAGTCATGATCCTGAGTCATGGTCCTCGACTGAAGAACTTCGACCTCATGCACAATCGACTGCAACTTAGTTTCTGAGACGAATCGCTCTGCCTTTAGGTAAAGTCGGCGCTTCTCCAGATATTGAAAGGTTACAGATGCGATGGTCTGGCGAAGTACCGCGAATGGTTCGAAAAAGAAAGAAGTAACACCTATTATTAGTTGTTCAGCGACCGACAGAAGACCCCCGGAGAGACACGAACAGTCATGGGCAGCCGTCTTCAATGAGTCTGTTCGATAGTCATACTTGGATTTTCTTCTGCTGAAACTCAGAAGCTGGAAAAGAATGAAGAACGCTGTGATGCGACTTCTTCCATGACCCCAAAGGACAAACACTCATCGAAACTTTCTGACTGACTGAGGACTATGTGCCCTTTAACTGTGATTATGACTTGTGCCTCTATTTTTCAAAACGTTCATCTTGAAGTTATGCGTTTTAGTTATTTTTTGTCGCAAGATTTAATTACCAACACTGTTGCAGTTGTCTAAGCGTATCTACAGGTTAATTAATTTTTTGTACAACGTATTAATGGCTGCCCAAGGTCAGTCAGTTTAGATGACCACCTTCTCTTAGAACCCGGATGCTACCCAAGGTCTGTTCAATTACGTTGGCCGAGATCATGCACTGAAGGTTTTATAATCAGTAACCTTCATTATACCAGCCTTGTTGGACAGATGCCTTGGTTTACAACCGCTGAAAGTTCTGCGCTACCATGCTAATATGCAGACAAATGACCTCTAATGGAGCACAGCTTATTAGAGGATTTGGCATTCCTTCCTTGACCTGATTGATAAATGAGAAAATCTGATTAAGCTTAACCCGCGAATCAATAACTAGGCATTATATATAACAAAGATTTGTTTCCTGTCGGAAATGTCCATAACGTTATTACAGTAAGTAGTGTGTATTTCAGTGACTGTTCTAAGGAAAACGGGGTACACGTTTTACGTGATATCTAACAAAAATGAGAAGGGCAGTGACGCAATAGGATAGTATGTAGCTTTGAAATTTAGAAGTGCTACATCAGAGTCTTATTATACCCTTGTATAAGACATTTACTCCACTCTGCTTCGGTGCAACCAGCCTGGAAACAGATGGGCGTGTCCATCACTTGCCAATAACAGATACAGTATTTGGATCCGTTTTGTTTATGCCAAAATCAGCGAAAGATGGACATGTCTTCTAATGCACTTGCTTTGGGGTTGTTTTAGTCGTCTTGATATCTGACTAAGAATCAGCACTATAATTTAAACGATTTGACGAATGTGAGGAGCAGGTACTCCGTGTAATTTGTAGAAAAAATTAACCTTAAGACTAGACCATTACGAACAAAACTGTTATGTAGTAAAACCCACCTTTATAAACCCAACTACGTAAGAAAATTGACGTTTGGAAAAATAGTTTCACTGAACATATTTTAATGACCAAACCACTGTGAATCGGTTATCAACTACAAGCAACACTCAATTTCCGAAGCACGTTTAATCCAGACGCGATCCAGTGTCACAAAGATGATGAAGTTCATACCTCTTCCTTAAGAGAAAAAATTAAGTATGCTTCCGTCAAAGAGAAAAGCAATTAATTAATCGTGATAACTTTTCATGATCAGCTGATAACATTAGCCGAAACTATGGTCCTGCACCAAAGCGTTTTACGCCATGCATATTATTAACCAACTCGTAATAGTAGACTCATGAGTCAACCCACCCTCTGTGTCAAGCATGTGTACGAATATTGATTATCATTGCTATGATCTTCATCATTATCTTTTGCATCTGTACTGACTACAGTGCCTAACGAAGGTGAAAATGAAGCAGGTAGTTGATTCTTTCATGTCGTTGCTACCATATCCTAAAATTAGGTATAGTTGTTAGTCTTTATAGGGAATGCGGTGATGCTCTTTTGCCGAAAACAAATGTTCGTTGAATGGGTAGAAAAGTTTAGCTGCCGAACGGAAGCCCCTAGGCGTCCTCTCAACCTCAGTGACAGTATCTAACGGACTACAGTTGCTAAAAAATTATAATTCTTACAGCGGTTGCATATAAGTATATGGTATATCAGTGCATAATATAAAATGAATAAATAGATGTACAGTAAAATATAAAGCATGAATGCGCAGGTTTTAAGAAAACATGATTTATTCTTTTCCTTTTTCTTCAGGCACAATTTCCGGAATTACAAAAATGTCCATGGGACGCACTTTAGCACATTTTTTGCACAATCGCTTCCTCTGTTTCTCCCATGCTTTGATCCTTCGCCAGCAAAACCCAAGAACGGCTGAGAAGACCATTAGGCCACCGATGATGTAAAACGATAATTTGAAATTTCCTGTTACGTCGTACACGAAGGCTGAAAACAATGAATTAATTTTAGGAGGATTCGTAGGACAACTTCAAACGTTGAGATTATTCCCAAGTGATAGAAAAATAATTGTCAAATACAGAGATAGAACCATCTTCAAGACTATGAAATGCATGTTAGATTGATCTTTCGTAAAATAATTTATGTTCAGATGTGGAAAAAATTTAAGAACGATTCGGAGAGAGATTCTGAAGTTTAATTTCACAGGCGAAATATTCCACTGAACCGCTGGCAAGAGTGCAGACTAAAGTTTCATCTAGCAACTATATAAATGATATTATATCTTAAACAATTTGCGCAGGAGAGTAATGGCAAACATCTGAAATATTTTTTTTCAATAGCTGATTATATAATCGTGCAAGTAAATCACTAAATGACTAAATTAGTAATCAGTTATAAAGACCAATAAATTAATTCATAAATTCAATTATTAGTATGATATGCGTTGACCTAAGGCGATCCGAGTGTAGTGTGAAGCTTGAGCTCTCAGAAACGTTTTTATGCATTGTTTATCCACCTCATATATATCCCCACGATTCCATTAAGATTGTAGTAATGGGAATGTTGGAAGAAAGCCCGTGATTCTTTTTGACTAGCGAATACTGTTGTCCACACTCTTGATCATATAACCAGGTTGTTTTAATACATTATTGTC